GCTCGAAACGTCCTCCTCTTCTGAATTATACGGCTCCTCATCCGATTTGGCAGGAAGAAATGCCTCCTCTCCAATACCGACATCTGACTCCTCTGGCAGCTGCAAGTCATTATCATTACGAAAATCGCTTCTGGTGAGCTCGTCCTTGCCAGGATAGAAATCCTCAACGCTCTGAAGCGCGGTCTTGACATTCTTTGCGAGCGGATTTTCTGTAAGGAAATTGTCGAAACTAACATCACCGCCATTGTAGTGGCTCTTTTCCTCGTTGATCGTGTGCCTTGTCATCTCCCTGTACTCTTCCTCGTGGATCCAGCCACCTTGCGAGGTATTCCTGGGATCAACTGATAAGGAGACTAGCTCCTCGGCGACAAACGGACTGCTGCCTGGCTCAAGTCCGAGACGTTTCTTCCGTCTGCGCTCTTCGTCATGCCACAGGCCGGCCATGCTCGGAACTAGTCGCTGATCGGAAGCCATCGGCTTAAGGTACTCGGTAAAATCGTGGTGAATAGACCTTTCACTGACATCAGAGCGGTTCATGATATCCTGAACGCAGATGTCGACTTCCAGCGGGCAGTAGCTCTGTTTCGGGAGGACCGAGGGATCCGACAAGTCTTCTGGGCGTATCGAACGGTCATGCCAACGGTGAGACAAATTAGTGAGCTCGAGATATTCCGGCACTGGCATTCGAAACTTGACGTTGCTACACTTCATATAAGCGCACCCGTACAGACTGTAATCGCACATCCACTGAGGGATGTATTGCAGATGACTCTCGTACGGCTGGACAGGTCGCTTCAATACCGAACCCTGGAGCAGCAGATCGGCCAGTCGGGTCATGTAGATCGGGTTTGTCAGGTAAACCTTGAAGTAGAACTTGTAGCCGACATGGTAGCCGTAGAAAGGCACGCCCTTGACCAAGGTGATATGCGCGACGAAGGCGAATTTCTTATCGTTAGGGTTGCGATTATAGCTCACTGCTAGTGCGCGGTCGATGGCGACATGGAGATGCTTAGTCGCGGCACTTACTACAGTACACTTAGCCATGGGGATACTTGGGTCAGGAAACCACTGTGGCGGGTCAAACCTTTCTCTTCATCTAGCTCGCCTTCATACTGAACATAGAGATAAGGGTATGCGCCATGTACATGAACGCAGACCTTCTGGCCAGTCTCCGTTGCGCCAAAGACCCTGATGATAGGGACTTTGACCCGATCATTTTTGCCCGAGGTCGGATCCCTGTAGAGCAGGGGAGGGTCGAAATCCGACGGGGCCGCCTGATAATGATCCACGCAATTGAGGCGCACTTGGAAGGGTTCCATTGCGTTCTTTCGAGACGGCGCAAAGCCGTCGCCAACATAGCTATTCAACAACAGTAGGAAGCATCATAGTCAGAAATTCGATGCCCATAGCACTGCTAATGCGCGTCTCTTGAAACTTTTGCCGTCTGCTGCGAGCAAGGTCGTGTTGAGAATTACCATGGAAGTGACGCGCCCAGTGGCGCGGATCTACGCCAGAGCACGTGATGATAGCCAGACTATTTGCCATTCGCCAAGAATTCCGCCGCTTCGAGAATGCCGCAACGACTTGCCTCACTATCGTCGCGCGACCGGTACTCCTTCCCGCTTTCCTTTCTCCTCCATCTGTTCAGCACCGGACTGAGAGGTTGCCCTTCTCAAATTCGGTCATCTCTCTCACGCCCGGTCATCTCTCTCACGCCCGGTCATCTCTCTCACGCAACTCCATCACCATGTCCCGTAAGCCAGCCGATGTGGCGTCGAAGGAACGCAACGAGTACATTCCGTCTTTCATTTCCAAGAAACCGTTCTACGTCGATGATGACGATACCACCAACGATTACCTTGAGCATCAACGTCTGCAGAAGTCGACGACAGATCAGTCGAAATGGTATGAGCGCGGCAAGCGCGCGGGTCCGGCCGCCACCAAGTACCGCAAAGGGGCCTGTGAGAATTGCGGCGCCATGACCCACAAAACGAAAGAGTGTCTCAGTCGACCGCGGAAGCACGGTGCCAAGTGGACGGGTAAAGACATCCAGGCCGACGAACTTATACAGGATGTGAATCTGGGTTGGGACGCGAAGAGAGACCGGTGGAATGGCTATGACGCCAGCGAATATCGCCAGGTGGTCCAGGAGTATGAGGAGCTGGAGAAGCTCAAGAAAATTACCAAGGACGGAGAGAAGAGGCAAAACGGGATTACCGATGGTGAACTCGATGAGGAGGAAGAGGCCCCGGAAGAGGAAGCCCGCTACGCAGAAGAGTCTGATATGGGACGACAACAAAGCACCGCCACCCGCAACCTACGTATTCGTGAAGACACCGCTAAGTATCTGCTGAACCTCGACCTTGATTCTGCAAAATACGATCCGAAGACGCGGCGCATGGTGGACATGGGCGCGCAGGATGATCAGGCAGCAGCACTGGTGGCTGAGGAGAACTTCGTGCGGGCCTCGGGAGATGCTGCTGAATTCGAGAAGGCACAGCGGTATGCTTGGGAGTCGCAAGAGAAGGGTACGCAGAAGATTCATCTGCAGGCGAATCCGACCGCAGGCGAGATCATGCGTAAGAAAGCGGAGGCTGAGACAGCGGCCAAGCGTGATTCACAGCGCAAGGCTCTATTGGAGAAATACGGTGGTCAGGAACACCTTGACCCAACTCCGCTACGAGAAACAATGGTGGTTGAAAACGAAAGGTTTATCGAATATGACGAGACTGGCGCCATTAAGGGCGCTCCCAAGAAAGCAGCAAAGTCCAAGTACGCGGAAGATATCCTCAACAACAACCATACCTCCGTCTGGGGAAGCTGGTGGCACAACTTTGAATGGGGATATGCCTGCTGTTTCTCTACTGTGAAGAACAGTTATTGCACTGGTGAGGACGGCAAGCGCTCTTTCCGAGAGGCAGACCAGATCTTGATGCTACCGGAAGGAGATGGCGAAAACGCTATCGAACAGTCTGGTGATGTTGAGGAAACCCAGGCCACGCCTGACCAGGCGGGCGTGGAGAAGGCAGGAGACGTGACCAACGCAAATACGAAGAAGAGAACTTTGATCGAGGTGCAGTCAGGTATCACGGAGGAAGAGCTCGACTCATACAAACGAAGCCGGCTTGCTGCGGACGATCCTATGGCCGCCTTTATGGGGAAAGATGATCTGGTTTAGTGGCTTTCTGGCAAGATGTTTCTCTGCGCCTCTGTTCTGCGACATGAATCGCGCAAATGCATATAGATACCCTTCTTCGAAATTGTGGATATATCGATATATTGATTGTATCGTATTTGAATGCAACGACCATTCCGACCATAACAAAGGAGGAAGACGTGGGAATGACCCGCCGTCTACTCCGTAGCTGTGAGTAGATGACCCATCGATAGAAACAAACCACTAAGTTATAGGGCGCTAGTCCAGTCTCGGGTTAGATACCCGGATAGTAAGTGGAGCCGCAACAAGATCGAGAGCCCTGCACGTGACAGGAAGGCATCTTTCAGAAGGCGGAAGATCACGGGATCACGGGACCAGGGCACAAGCCCTGGAAACCACAACTCGCTAAGCGACACCACCCCAGATCCCAGCGCAACTTTCGATACGCCCAGCGACGACGACAACGACAACCAGCCCTTCAACGGAATCGCCAGGTATGTTATTTTTGTCGGATGATCGTGTTTTTGGATATCTGCTGGACGGACATTTTTTCGCTGACTATTTTGCTTCACTTTTAGTTCCCCTAATTCAAGATGAGTACGTTACCAACATGATAAACTACCGGTCCGACCGGTCTTTCGGCAACGACGAAATGTGACAGCCAACTGACTCCGATTACAGCGAAGGGTACCTCCAGCTTTGGCAAGCGCCACAACAAGACTCACACCCTCTGCAGGCGTTGTGGTCAGTATTACACCTTCCGATACCTTTGTTTGATACGGCGGAATATTTTGCGGATCAACGGATGATCAAACATAAGAGATGGGATTATGTGCCGGGAATGATTGAAGGGAATTTGCCGGGAACGACAAAGGGACAAACGGGCTAACGGATTGCGCACCATCGGGATATTTGCAGGCAAACGCTCCTTCCACATCCAGAAGTCGACTTGTGCCAACTGCGGTTACCCCTCCGCTAAGACTCGCAAGTGTACGAACTCTCCCCCGATAACTCCACTCCATCCTTGACACAACACTGGGCCTTCGTGCGTGCTTGATTCGACAATGGGAGAAAACAAAACCAACCCCCTCGAGCACCGGAAGATTCCACCCACCACCCCCGATCACAGATCATGTATTGTTGGTATTTTGATTTCGAGAGATCGTTGGCTTACGAATCTATGCTGTCATATAGTCAACTGGAGCGAGAAGGCCAAGCGCAGAAAGACCACCGGTACCGGCAGAATGCGCCACCTCAAGGAGGTCCACCGCCGCTTCCACAACGGCTTCCAGACCGGTGTCCCCAAGGGTGCCCGTGGCGCCACCTCGAGCAGCAACTAAGTTAATTGTTCGACGTCGCGATTTCGTTCTCGGAGGCTGGAGAGGGCTGGTATGACAAAGGCCGAGCATATGAAGTGAATCGGTTTCAGTGCAAGGCGAAAAAAGGCGCTTCCCCCCGTGGAGTTGGTGGTGGGACGGTCTTTTCACTTTTTTGCCGTCATAGCATTTCTATTCTAGAGAAAGAGAGAAAAATGGCACATATTGACGACAAATGAAAAGACGGACCCTCTTTCCGTGGGGTCCTGTGTTGTTCACGAAGAAAAAAAAAGGAGAAGGGAAAAGCAATGCATGAATTTTCCTTGACTTGTTTATGGCTGGCGGATATCCCATGTCGAGACAGACGCAGTGTTGAGATATTCATCCAATGTGATCTGTTTACCTAAATTCCGACGGCCAACCCTACAGAAACGTATCTATCCTTGCACTGCCAACTTGCGAAACAGATCAACCCACCGTTCTATACTTTTTTGATGCGCCCGAACGCCTCCCCCCCCCCAAACTACCCTGGCCCCACTGACACTGATCTACCTACTCCCCACGTCCAAAGACGCTGACCCCACCATCTCTTTGCACGAAGTACAACGCCTCCCTCTCTTCCCAACTCCCGTTGGCATCGGTGTTATCACTCTGTCCCCACGCGCCTCCTTTACTGACCCTGAGGACCCCACTCACATCCCGCGCAGCCCCCGTATCCAGATCCCGCAACTGCATCACCAGATGCGCCCGGTGGGCGGAACCGATCGCAAACGCGGCATGTTCGGTCTCCAGCGGCGTGGGCATCTGATGCGCAGCCGCCGAGGCGTTGTGTATTAAGGGCAAGTCGGCCGCGAGGGTCATGATCGTAGCATGGACATACTATATCCCACAGCACGTAGCATGGTTAGCGCACCTATCACCACAAGCTGAATGAGTCAATCGAGAACGTACCTGCTGTAGGCCCATCACCCACTCGGTCATCTCCGTAGCTCCAATCTCCTTGCCGGGCCCCGTCGCGGCTAGAAGCAGGTCCGGTTGGTCGAGGACTAGCAGCACCTCTGAATCGTCCTCTCCCTCCGCCGTCGCCGTCGCCCTGCCACTCAGATGCGCCACCACCGCCGCGATATCCTTCTCGAGTCTGTCAAGAGCGGCAGGGCCCTTCCCGGACAGGTGCAGTCGCTTGACCGGGCCGATCTCTCGAGAAGTGGCCGGCGGAGCGGACGGAGTCAACGGCGCTGGGGCGGCGACCGCCGCAGGGCCGCGCGCGGGTTGAGGTCCTCGCGCTGGAATGGGACCTGGCGCGGATCGATTGGGGAGGATTGTCCGCTGAGGAACCAGGCCGCCGCGGGGTGAGGGTGCTAGGGAGGGAGGAGTGGCTTGGGTGGTGGTGGTGGTCGGCGTCGTCCGCGGGCCGGGAAAGAGTTCGGATAAGCCATCGACAAAGGCGAATTGGCGCTTGTCAGTGAGACGGGCGAGATCCAAACCCTGGAATTTTGTATTGTCGTTTTAGTATTCTTTCAATCCATGCCGCGCAAGAGGCTTTCCACCGAAAACCATCAAGGGTTTTGGTGGGCTGAGGGTGTTGCCCACCCCCAAAAAAAAAAAAAAAACACATACCAATCTTTTTGCTTCCGCGCGCCAAAACTCCCAACCCCGCAGGAAACTCACGAGCACTACCTTTTGTTTCTTCCCATTATGCCCTTCGCCGAGATTTAGCGCAGCGTCGGAGGTAGATGACGCATTCAGCGCGGCGTAGAGATATCGTAAAGTGAGCCAATTGCCTTGGGCGCCGAGGACGGTGGAGAGAACGATGAGAGATGAGGGGGTTAGGGATGTTACGTAGGGTGCCAGGAGAGGAGGGAGGGGCGGTTGAGTGGGCATCGCTGTATTGTTTTGGTGGGAGGTCGCTCGATGATGGGTATAAAGCCTGCGGGTATAGCTGGGCGAACGCAATTGTGGTCAAGCCCTCACGTCGCAAGTTGAGATGCCTTTTCTGGGCTTCACGGGAGTGATTTTTGGATGCTGGAAGTGGTTGCAAATGACGTTGTATAAAATTGAATTTCCTGTGGGGGGCTGCAATTGGCGGGAGGACCGCGCCAAGACTGATTGATAGCTGTTGCATTGTCGCTGGCTGAGCATTTATTCCTTGACCAGCAACTACCTATTTACATGTATCTTGGTGTAACAGAGCGAAATCATGCTCTAGATTCCCCTCCATACTATCCTGACGTGGGATATGCACTACAACTTTCGTGTATTGGCACTCTCGGGAGGTGCTAGAGTCTGCGTGCCTACACTATATATTCCAGCCTTAGCTACCTTGGGAGCTGTCACAGTTCTTATTGCACCGGACCACTAGAGAAATCCTGCAGAAGCAGCTCACCAACGAGAGTTTCTGCTTCTTCCACATGGTGTTCTCATCCATCAAGCTAGAAAATACGACGCGAATTGACACGATGCAGCGTCTACTGGCATCATGACCATCTGGTCCGCATTCCGTACCTCGAACCCACTCTATTGACTTTAGCTCGTGCATATCAATCAGTCAGGTGCTTGCAAGGAGGGGTCTACAAGCTTGTTATCTTGCTATCTGCTGCATGGGAAGCAGTCTAGATATCAAAGGGATACCAAGAGTATCTTCTGTGCTTTCATTTGAATGACACAACGATCCCTTGACCAAAAGGAGACAACATTTCTGCCTGAGGATGTCAGGCTGACAGCGGGCAACTGGGCAACTGAGAATGGATTCCTGAGAATTGAGGGCGATAAATTTCTTTCGCGGCGTGTCACCTGACTGGCTCCCCCACACGAGCCTCTCTAAGAGTTAGCATCAATCATCACATCGGCTGCAGCTTTCCTCGTCGCGCTCGCAACAGGTCGAATTCCCCTCTTTCTTTATTTCTAAAGGCCTGTCGTCCTCAGTTGGACCCGTATCACGGGCTTGGACGGTCGGCTTTGTCTCCGACATCAAAAAAGGGCTGGACCGTTGAATGCCGCCGTGCCGATCGTGAGTTTTGGCCTTGTTATGTCCTGTTATGTTCTTCCGCCACCTCGTTTTGTTCCTGATACCCCACCAGTCCGTGGCGCCATCCTGTATCGTGAGCTTTCTGTTTGTTTGTCCCAACCTGTGGCCTGCTAGGATTTGCCATCATATTCCTTCTCACAATACATTCCTCTCTTAATTTTGTATTCATGCTTCTCATCTGTTGCCGATTCAAGTCTGCCATCGGACTTTTCCCAGTTGAAACCATGTAGGACGTTGCTAACCTACTGATTCAGATGACATCAGTCTGGTATACTTACCACCGAGCACGAGATTTAGAGATTCAATAGATCGAATGATCCTCTTGCTCTAAATATGGCCAGCACTCGTGATTCTCACTCTTACGCCGTGAGTCGCAGATCGCAGGGCAAACCGACCTAGTTAGCTGATCTCCATTTTGCAGTGCGATGAATGTCGTTTACGGAAGTCCAGGGTGAGAAATCATTCTATGGAGCTTTGGATGCTCAGGAGTAGGAACTTGAGCTGAGCTAACCCCTCTATAGTGCTCTAAGGAGAAACCTACATGTGCACAATGCAGGCAGCTGCACAAGGACTGTAATTATAGTCCTAAAGTCAACAGAAGTCCCTTGACCAGACAGTAAGCATCTGTTTCGCTTTCCTCAAATGCTGTGTAACCCTCTAACGATATCTAAACAGACATTTGACATATGTAGAAGATCGCTTACAGGCGTTTGAAACAGCCCTAGGGAGGCTGTTTCCGGGCGGTGATCTGGATGCGACGGTTCGCTCCCTTTTGTACGACCAGGATGGGCCGCCTAAACCAGGTTCATCATCCAAGTCGTCATCCAGGCACTCTACTCCAGCAAAAGCTGAGGCCGATCGAGCCGAACCAGCCCCCGAGGCCCTGCCGCAACAGGCAGACGGCTTCGATTGGGCGGAGAATAAGATCACTGTAGGGGATCTGACAGACGGCATGGCAGCCCTTTCCATCAAACCAGAAGGAGCGGGTTACTTTGGTATGTGTTTCGTTTAGATCTAGGCGCGGTCGATCATTCTAACCGTCAACAGGCGCTTCTTCGAGCGTCGTTCCGCTCCGAACATTGCTCAAGCATGGCTTTGACCTCAACTTCCCCGCTGGCACGTCAAAGACGAACTATGCGATTCCCTTGAAGTCCCAACTGCTCAACACCGCCCCGTCTGGTCTAGTTGAGCAGGCGTTTATGGACGCATTCTTCCTCAACTATCATGCAAGCTACCCTTTCATTCACGAGGGTACATTCAGAGCACAATTCTATGAACAAGTGCCCCGGCCACATGGTCAAGCTTGGCAGATCTTGCTGAATACTATTCTGGCGCTGGGTGCTTGGTGCATTGGTGACGACAATTCCGACCTGGATATCACTTTCTACCAAGAAGCACGAGGCCACTTGCAGCAGGTCTCCGTATTTGAGACCGGAAACCTTACCCTGGTGCAGGCGTTACTACTTCTGAGCAATTACGCACAGAAACGAAACAAGCCCAATACTGGGTGGAACTTCTTGGGCCTGGCCGTTAGAATGGCCATGAGTCTGGGTCTTCATAAAGAATTTCCTGGCTGGAAAATCAGCCTTCTTCAGCGTGAGATCAGGAGACGCCTGTGGTGGGGAGTGTACATTTTCGACAGTGGGGCAGCGAAGACGTTTGGCCGGCCCATTCTACTGCCCGAAGATAGTGTCATGGATGCAAAACACGTCCTGAATATTCATGACGAGGTAGGAAGATAGATCATCGTCCCGGCTCTTGTCTGGTTGTTGACAATTCTCAGGCTCTCACCCCCGCCACCGCCACGCTACCCGTCGAAGTCACAGAACCAACCCTCTATTCGGGGTTGATAGCTCAAGCTCGGTTCCACTTACTTACAAACAGCGTTTACCAGCGCCTCATCTCGGGACCCAGTCTCACAGCGGAGGAAACGCTGGGCCTCCAGAAGCCAATGGAGGAATGGTACAACGGTCTTCCTGACTACTTCAAGCAACCGCCTCTACCGGTATCCGACACCTTTGCGCTCGTCCGCAACCGCATGATGTGGAGGGATTGGAACTTGAGAATCCTTCTTTACCGACCGGTACTCCTCCGATGGGCATCACGGAGATGGACACAGCAGAATACAGCGTCAGAGCCTGAAGATCCTTTCGAGGTTGACTGCCGGAAGCTCTGTCTTCGAAATGCTCGACTTTCCATTTCGTCCATCACCGACTTCGTGAATAATCATGTCTGCACAAGAATTGGAGCTTGGTACATGCTGTATGTTTACGGTCTCTGCTTTGGGGTTGTCTATGGTTGACTAATCTATTCGGCAGATACTTCCTCTTCCAGGCTGGTTTGATCCCAATTATCATGCTCATGACCGATCCCACTAGTGCAGACGCTCCTGCATGGCTCCAAGATATAGAAGCCACCAAGAAGCTGCTCATCCATCCTTCACTGAGTAACAATCGACTTGCTGTTCGCTGCCTGGAAGTTGTTAACCGGCTGTGTTCGCCTGCGTACACGAGTGCCGCGACCGGTCGAGCGGCGGGACCGGCGCCCCCTATCGTAATGCCATTCAATGACCAACTGTTCACTGATCCGACTTTTGGCAATATGTTTCCCGATGTTGACCAGGAGTTGAACTTAAGTGGCATGGATTTTACGGAATGGGTGAACTTTGCACCACAGCACGATTTTGTTTGACCAGGTTCCTGACCATAAGCTCCGTGCGGCTTCGAACCCGAGTGTCACAAGTGGCTAAGAGACTCGTCATTTGACGTGATCTTCGTGATGGCGAGTGTATTGAAAGTGTCTCAAGCGCAATATTCTGCGAAGGAACAACGAGAATCTCAGCCGATGTCTCCAGCCGATCGGACTGAGGTATTCGAAGCGATACTCTATATGACCATACCGCAGGCTTGATGAACTCCCGACGAGTCGGTCGAATGTTCTGTTCCGTTGGAACAACGGTTGGCTTATGAATGCCATATTTTCCAGAGTGAAAGGAGTGTCAGGATATTGGCAGCGTGACGTGGATGGCCTGAAGCATAAAAAAGGGAGACTTCGGCAAGACAATGCTCTTGTTTACCAACAATAGGCCGAAGGCGGTAGCGGTAAGAACACTGCAGAGCTCCCTACTTCGCATCGAGGGAGTGCAGACCTGGCTCGGGTCTCAGGCCTGCATTCTTCGTTCTCTCGCCTGCTGCTGCAAGTCACGAGGTCGTCCCGATTCGGAACATTTCCTCAAGGACGCCTGAAGATGCCTCAGGATGAATGCATGGATGATTGAGGGAGGATGTGATCTGCTCCGATACTCTACACCAAGACACCTGTCTAAAGTTGCGATATACGGAGCACACAGTTGTCTATATACGGTACCTTATATGTTGAAACTTTTTTTTTTTTTTTTTTTTTTTTTTTTTTTTTTTATAGCATACTTGTACAAACAGCACAGCATGCAACCAGTTCTCTCGCAAGCGGGACCTACTACAAAACCACCTACACAGTAATAGGAATAACCCTCCACTGGTTGCGCCACATCTGTGCTATCAGCAAGAGAAGACGGTAGACGCAGTCGTAGCTCACGCAGCCATACCATAGTCCCATCTCCAACCCACCTCATGCATCACACCCTGCCGTCGACCCCTCGGTACTTCAAGGTTATCACCCGAGGTGTCAGAATCAGGCAAGTCCACTCGACGAGGTAGAGCTGAACCTTGACCTGGAACTCGATGCGAACTCCCCAGTCACTCACCGACCCCTTACTTCGACTGTCCCCACCCTGCCAGTAAGTAGGTCTAGCCCCAGCCTCGGCCCTAGCAGGAGATGTACTCTGTACAGTATGTGCGTGCCGTTCATCCAGGCCTAAGACTACTGGACCACTGGACTATACATTTCAGAAGAGTCGCAGATCGAAATGCGCTGGACGGTATTGGACTGTATTGGACTGTAGTCTACTGTTCCTGTAATATAACCCCCTTCTTTCTTTGCTCCTCGTTGTCGGTAAGTAAGTACATACGGGACATGCGTGGCCAGACCCGAATGGGAAAGAGAACTGTTCCCAACTACTCACTCCCATCGATCCAGCTCGACTGTCTTGGGAGTTGAGGGAGTTGAGTGAGTTGAGTGAGTGATGTGTACAGTACCTGGGGCTGGGGAGCGGCCTCAGGCACTGGACTCCGCCCTAGAATGCTCATACCTCCCTAGTAGCTGGCCACACCAACCCAACCCAACCTCACACCCTGAACAGTCCAAGCTATACCTAGCAACTTTGGTCGTTACACAATTACATCAACAAGCATGCGTGCGTGCACAGTACGGACCCACTCCTCATGTGAGATTGTCAACTACAGTACAAGGTAGGCACTATCGGCGGTACTGTATGTACTCTACAGAATACCTGAGGTAGTCAAGAATCTTCACCACCACCCATTCTTCCCAGTGGCCCGCGCCGGGTCAGCCACCTGCAAGGGGCTGGAAGAGACCCCGACCCATCCATCCTATCCCATCCCATCCCATCCCATCCCTTCCCTGCGCGCGCCGGCGCAGAGGCGGAGATGCTCCAGCTCCTCCGGCCCTCGCCCCCGGTCGTGTCATTGGTCGAGCTGGAATTCATTTTCCATGGCGGCCAACGAGATCGCGTCCTGCTTCTCCGGAGCCGAAGCCACGGCTATAGTACCTTATACCTACATAATTCATATACTACGTAGCATACCAATCGAACGGGGCCGGCAGTCGAATGCCGCATTTCCTGACTACATGATATACATGATTCTCCTCTCGACGATTGGTTCATTTCTTTTGGTTTTGGGTGAGTCAACTGCACCACGCTTCGCCTCCATGCAACAACCACAGACCGCAGACGCTAAAGCACATCCTGCCGAAAGAGAATCCCACTAGTACTTGGTACACACACGCACACACGCACACACGCACACACACACAACAAATCATTTACCCCCTGCCTTCACCAATGCCAGAACTGATCGAAAGGGATTCCTGCAAGAATGAAACTGATCCCAAGGGAGTTAAAAAAAAAAAAAGGCAAAAGCAAAAACAAAAACACCCAGTCCATTACCCGAAATAAGCCTAGTAGTGTATTGAATGTGTAGTAGATGGCAAAAGAACATATGTTCAGTCGTTAACGATCGTAGTTGAGTAGAATAACAGGCAAGGGAGAACTCAAGGGAGAACTTCACACAACCCTACTTCCGATGGTCGGAGGGCTCCCAATGGATGGGCTCAAAATCCTGGTTCTGGAAATGCGCTTGATTGTACGGAGAACTAACCATTCATCAGCATGGTCAATTTCAAAAGTGCAGGAATCCATGGGTCTTACTACTTTTTGAACGGAGTCGTCACCGGCAGCGAATGACTCAAGTTCGGTTTCATCACAAGCGGATTCAGCCGGATCTGAGGGCCATCCGACTTGCGAGGCAACGATGACAACGGAGCTGGCGGGGCTGACATCCGAGGGGGCGGGGGCGATGCCAGCGAAATCGGCGGAGGGGGGGGTGAGGTGTGCATAATGGGTGGTGCATACACTTCAAGGGGCGGCGAGACACGGAATGGACTGGGTGAAGCCGAAGGCATGGGCGACGGCGCAAGCGCAAATGACGGGTCCATCATCAGATTAGGGATCGACATCAAGCTGGAGTTGACGTCGAACGAGAGTGCACCTTGATCCCAGGGGGAGTAGTTAGAAGTCATTGCGTATTGATAATTAACCACGGGTTCCATATTCACAGTAGGTTCGACCGCGTAGAGAAGGTCGTAGTGGCCCCTGGTTGCGCATTAGCATACTCAACATGACAGCGAAGAGTCGCGCACTCACGGGCGGTACAGCAAGCAGATCGTGGCTGCTGTCACCCGGTTTGGGGTGAGAAGGTGGGGCGTGACAACATCCCCTTCGCTGCGGTCCAGGTAGAGGATCTCCACCGCAAATCCGGATGCCTCGATCACCCCATCCACCAACGCTTGCAGGCCGACTTCATCAACCTCGGTTTTCACCGTGTCGATGCGTGTCGCACAGTACTGATCCACCGGCAGCGAGAGGAAAGCTTGGTAGCGAAGGGCGTTCAATTTCATCCAGGCGCTCGTGAGAAGCTGTGGTCATACGTCAGTCGCACGAACTCAATCACGAGACGAACAAGACTGACTCGGAAATGAGTGATGATGGCGCTGGCATTGTATTCCTCATTAAATGCCTCGACTAGAAACGTGTCGTCAATGATGCCATTCTGGATGGCTTCAATGATCTGATGGAAGACCCCTTCCGTCGCGTCGACGAAGATCTCGTACAGATGTTCCTGTTGGCCCGTGCGATCCAGGAGCACATTGAGCGATTTGATCCGGTTCATTTCGTCGTGCGCGAGCACCAGATTCTGTAGTTTGAGAAGATTCTCGAAATATCCAAACGCGACCGCTGCACGGAGTTAGCGGACAAGTTGCTCCAGGCACACATGGGCAAGTACCTCTCCAGCCGCAGTTTCCGTCTCCCTTCATGGTGCGTACCAGGGGATGTGTTACTGCAAGAGCCTAAGATACTGGTTAACCATCCGAATCATCCTCGCGAGCAGAAGGGCCCAAACTGACTGCAGTCTTGGTGATGAAGGCAGGATCGGCATTGGCATATTCCATGGCGACCATGCTACTCGATAATTTGGACGAAACCGCGGGACCCTGTTTATTCCATGAGCCGGGCTCGATGGGACTATATCGAGCTATCATAGACAAGCTCACCTGTACGTTGGCCTGGAACTCATTGGAGAGTTTCTGGAACTTCTCCATCTCGTCGGTAGATAAGGCATTCATGTTGAAAGATCTGTGGCTGTGAGATGGGCGATTGAGAGACCTAAAATGGGGAGCAGCCCCGTGATGGTTGAAGAAGGCGGCTGAATGAGGATGTTGAGGGAAAAGTCCGGAAATGGATTCCTGCCTTGCCGGAAGTTGGTTGACGGGGTAGTAGTGATTCCAGGATACACCCGACAGGGACATCGCATAGAAGACTAGAGCGGCCGAATAGGTGAGGGAGGAAGGTGGGTACCGACAGAGGAAGAAATCAGAAGTTGTCGAGATACCTTATAAACGGAAGGATGATGGTCAATATCAACGGCCTCTCGGTCATCAAGCAGGGATCGCAGCCGGCGCACGTAATACCCACCAGACAATGCAGCATGATCTGGCGCCAGGTTCTGTCTGGTCGCCTTGCTGTGCCTGATCCTCGGTGCAGGAGAGGTGTGCCGGTTCGAGAGTTCTTCAGTGATGTAAGAGCCTACTGTGCAGCATTCTTAGCATGGGCTTCCATCAATCGACAAGATTTCAGGATGAGTGTTTTCGAGAAACCGTCACTGTGAATGCGATCGGACCAATGAAACAAGCACTAGAGATACTCCCGCCAGGGCTCGACGACAGGAAGTAGTGCCATGGAACCAACGGAGATAGTCCAAACATGTGTCACAGCAAGCATCGAAAATGCAGAGAAAGCGAGAGCGACGGCGGCTTAGGGAGGGAAGGGAGAGCGGGATAGGCCAATAGAAAACACCGGACCAGAGGGCAGAACAAGGAATGCCGTTCGGAAATGCGAATTGAAGATACGCAATCTTGCACTTGACTAACAGGCGAGGAGGTCGAGGAATGACACCAGTTCGTATCAATTCGGGGAGTGATAGACGATTGTCCGCCCAGTCGCATCCGAACCGATCGCCTCCTGGTCCACTCCACGCAGCCCGCCTGACATCCGAGATGCAGATTCAAAACCATAACCCAGAACACCCGATGCTACTCGGTCATTCGTAGAGGCATGTCTGTCGGTCATCGATCGAGCGAAATGAGGATGAGGAAGGAGGAAGAGGGCAAGGAAGGAAGCAGGGGACAAGTTTGTGTGTATGTATAGTATAGGTTGCATGGGAGCCTCCGGGAAAGAGAGAATGCAAGCACATCACACCGAGTGGCAGATCAACTCTGCATTGTCGACAGTTGAGGATGATGTGAGGGTCCAAGTGGAGGCCAGTATCAGCTGGAAAACCCCGACAAAAGAGGGGAAAGAGACCGTGATTGTGTAGGTGTCTCACATAGAAACTAATTGCCAACAAAAGACCAAGTAGAAAGAGGGAACGGGAATAAGAAAAATAGTGATGCTCAGACCTTCAAAATGTCGTCAAGGCTTTTCTTTTTTTTGGTCTTACAGCCAACGTGCATACGGAGGGGAACCCAGTCACACGTACGAACTATGGTATCAAGTAAGCAGGTGTGATGAGGGAGAAGGTGAGGGATTGACCCAAAGAGGTATCAACAAGAACCAATTGAGGGAAGAGAAAACAAAAGAGGATGAGAGGATGTCAGGTTACAGGTGGCAAAGAAACAAAAACAAACGACCGACTAATCACTGGCAAGTAATGAGGATCCTTACTCGGGCGGCGATAGAAACTACCACCTTTAGTAAAGTGGTAGAAGGAGAAGGAGAAGGAGAAGGAAAAGGTGGAGGAGGGTAGGGAAAAGGTAAAGGGGAAGTAGAATGAAGGGAAGAGAAAAGCGAAGGTAGCCAACCAACCAAGTGGTGTATGTGTAGTCAAGTAAGAATAGTTCGTACCTCGTAGTAAATTGGTATTTAAACTTGGTAGTAGTGGGTAGTTGTTAAGGTAGTTTGGTAGGATCAGGTCAGTTCTCAGTCGGATCTGGGGGAGGAGGTCCGAGGGAGGGAAGGCTTTAATATGGATATTAATAAGGAAAACTTTGGCTCTTTTGTGGTCTCGCCCCAGCACGAACAATCATTTGTTCGGGGGGAGAGAAAAAGGTGGAGTGGAGGAAAATGGAGACAGAAAAGAGAGCGAGGGAAAAGAAACAACAACAACAACACCAACACGAAGAAGAAGAAGATGATGAACCACAATCACAACCACAACAATACAGTACAGTAGCAATGAAGAAAAGAAGGATAATTCCAGATGGATTGAGACAACTTGGGGACAGAACCACTAATTAGACTGACTATGGCAATCTAAAAGTCAGAAACCGACCGGGCGCGCGCGCGCGGGGTTGCCGGACCATACATTACTTCCTGCTTCATACTGACACTGACAGTCTGACACTGATTGACTGCCAGTGAGTCTTGCTTTTTCCTTTCTGATTTCTTTCCCGTCATCGGTCGGGCGTTACTAGCTTAGTTCAGTTGGTTTAGTTCAGTTCACTCCCTTTCTTACTTCAGTTTGACTCGCTAGTTAGCCGGGTTCCGCCAGGATGGGATGGGATTGCAAAGCCCGTCCACGGTGTCTACCTTACCTTGGTCTAGTCTGTCGCTATTATCTACTGGCCTACTGTATGAATAGGCAGAATTGAAATTGGATTGCGATTCCACCCAACCACAAACGCACATCTGTCGCGGAAGATGAAGATCGATGCTGTTGCAATCAGCCACTGGGCACAATCCCGATCCACTGCTCTTCTGAGTATTACACATATTGATTAATGTCTCCGTATTGCTGCTCTACAGCTTGCAGCTTGCAGCGGGTCGGGGGAAGCACGGTTCCAGTGCAACAATCGCCTGACGTTTCTCAAGTGTGCAGCCGGCCACTATCCGTCCTATGCGTACTGTACTGTCCATGATTGCTTTGTGTCTACTCCTGCTAGCAGCCTAACAGCACTAATGAAGTACATTACAGGAGGTAGGTATACAATGAGTAGTTCTCCGAGAGATAGTCCCGTAGACAGGCACCTGGATACATTGCCTTGAACCTACAGGGGTGGTAGCTCCGGCACAATTGGTTGGAAGGGTACGTGCTCAGATCGCCTTGCGACTATGACGAGATAGAGACTAGAGGGACATTTCAAGGTTAGTTCCTCGTTAGCATCGAGCGAGCATCGAGATATCGTAGTTACTATGTAAGTTTTACGCACCCTGTCCCTAGCCGTCTATCCACCGGCAATCACTACTCGGTGAGGTAACAGCATCCATCCCCTCCCAGAAAAATATCCAGAAGCATCGGAGAGGAAGGCAGGAGGTCCGGAGATGGGAATTCCTCGGCTTGGGAGTGGGTGAAGCTCCCCTTCCAGTCCTCGACGGAGTACGTCCATGAGTCCTCGAATTCTTCTAACCGACTGCACGAACGGGCGATCTGAATGCCACCAACGACCCTACCGATCCTTCATGCACTACTAGGAAACGACCACATGTCCGGACGAGATCACCAACGAATGGCCATGGGTTGAGAGAGCTGCGAGGAAGCCCAGGATTCTATCTGCCATTGGGCCCTTAATATCCACCACTCAGCGTCGGCCGCCACTCTTTGACTGCTGCAAGCCTTCTTTTGCTGCCACTGCATTGTTTTTTCTTATCTCTTTTTGGGAACCACCGATCGTTATAGGGATTGAGGTACTGTACTGTGCTCATCAGAAGAAAGGCCTGGCAAACAGCTGCATCGTCTACCCGTATCTGTCGTGAACTGCGGTGATTCCTCGCCTGTAAGTTGGCCTTTGCCCCGCCCCCTCAAATCTAAATCTTCTTTATCGCCGTCGTGCATGCAGGCGGTACTCCGTACTGCAGACAGACAGCAAGCAGACCTGGCCAAGTCAAGAGCTAAACTTCCGATCGAAACCGGGCTAGTCGCCTTGAACGACGCACCTTGAAGTCGTGGGCACCAGCAACTTCCTACGACCAACGCCCAACAACTGCTGCAACTGCTGCTGCTGCTGCTGCTGCTGCTGCTGCTGGCGCCAAAGAAGCAACACGTGCGATTCCTTGACGTTAATTAATCCTCTCTGCAACCATGCGATCAGACCACCATCCACCCTCTCGATGGTAAGACCTCTCTCTAGTCCCATCTCATCCCATTCTCATCCGCTCATCCTCCAACCCGTCTCGCTGGTTGTGGCCATGACCAGACTCACGGATCTCGTAAACACGACTCGTCGAGTCCCAGAAAAAGATTGTCGATCCAACTAAGAGGGGGCTTGCATATGCTACCTCGGCAGCGACTCCGAGCCCATCCATTCGCGAGGGATCGCTCACGGTGTAGTTTAGTGTGCTTGTATGGGATTGGAAGACAAAGGACCCCCGACCGTGGTGTTGTTCCAGTTGCTTGACGGGTCCGGACCGGCCCTCGCAAGAAACCCACAATAATCAAGGCGAGAGAAAGGGAGAGCGAGAAAGAGAAGATGGAGAGAGGAGCTAGAATCCCTGAAGTCGGACTGCATTACCCACCACCGCCTTGCTTTTGGTTATTGCTTTGTACTACCCTTCTTCTATCTTCTCTTGCTCTCCCAGACGTGCAGGGGCAGGTTCTTCATATTCCGATTCGTTCTACCAGGAGAGGGGGGCCCATCAGGTGGTGGGACCGAGCGCCGAGGAGTTCTGGAACGCAGCTAAGATACTAGCCATCATGTCAGCCTGCCAGGATGTGAGACGATGACGATGACGATGATACTGGAGTCTATGCGTCTATGCGCCGGCAGGCGGTAGATACAGGATGAAATCAACGGCGCGTCCGTGTGGAGAGAAGCCGTTGTGTAGCCATTGCCATCAAGTTTGCAATCCGGCTGCTGCTGTGTATCAAAATCTCTCCAGTCTCCACGGAGTACAAGCCCTCTAACTTACATCCGCTCTACAATCCCACATGTACAACCACCCCTCCCCTCTCAAATCGACGTCACTCGGCGAATTTTCGGGTCCTGGTTGCATCTCCAGGGCACAGGATTCCCGCTGGTAACTGACGCAACTTCACCTTGGGATGATTTACACACAATGATTGACATTGGTAGTAGGGTTGTGAGTGGGCACTACAGGTAGTCTATTCCCGACGCCCTTTTTTTTTTTTTGGTTTGTTTTTACCCACCCACCCCCGCCCGCCTGTGGCTTGTCCATTGCCAATCCAATTGCCAGCAGCTAGCACCTCGGAGCTTCTCTTACTATGTAAGAACAAAGAAACAAAGAAACAAAGAAACAAAGAAACAAACACGAATAAGCATTACGGCTTGTTGTCCATTCTCTCGAACTACCGTCTGGGATCTGCAATTCAATTCGTGTGATATAGCCTTTTGACCCCAGCACTCGGAAGAGAAATTACCGATCATGTTGCAGGTACGTATTCGATTTTCTTCATTCCTCCGACATCTACGTAGTCGATTCGGACTAACAAGACGGACGGACTCCGCTGTCGGCCCCTCGTAAGGGACACTAAAGGATCGATCCCGTCCCTTCTTTTTTCTTATCGCTGTTGCGCGCTCCACTTC